GTTTTTGGATGCTGTGCCCAGAGTGGCCTGTCCTGCTCCCAGCTCCCTGTGCAGCTCCCAGCTTTCCTGCTGGCAGTGCTTCCATCTTCCCACTCAGGGTGTTGAGAGAGGGAATTTCTTCTGACTAGAAAATTACCTTTTCCAAGTCTGATTTGTATATAAACACAGGGAGTTTTCAATACTGGGAGGAGGGAGATGGACCAAAACCTGGACTTTTAGACTCTTATTGGGGTGTGTATAATTGAAAATTCACATGTGTGGGGGAAGGAGTGAGAACCAGAGGTCAGAAGACAGGAGTTTTATTTGTGATTCTGCCACTACTTCCCATGGTCTGTAGTTGAATTCACTCTCCCCTCTTACAAACTGAGAATAAGACTATTTCCATTGAGTGTTTTAAAATGACCATATGGGAGCCAATAAGTGTGAACTGTTATTATATCTGGAAAAAATTGTGGGTGTTTATGAATGCCCAAGGGCCAGGATCTGTCCCAGATGGGATTCAGCACCTGAGAAAAAGAGCTTGAGTTCATTTCATCTTCTCCAGTGACTTTTTAAGAAACTCATAGGAACTGTATAATGCAGTCCATGATTTAGTGACTAGTTCTGTGCCTGGAGCGAGGCAGGGGGAGAGTCAGGGCCTCAGTCACTGAAACACCACCATGCTGAGGCTTCCATCCGAGAATCACAGAATGGCCTGGCTTGGAAGAGACCTTAAAGCTCATCCAGGGACACCTTCCACTATCCCAGGTTGCTCCAAGGCCAGTCCAACCTGGCCTTGGACACTTCCAGGGATGGGGCAACCACAGCTTCTCTGGGCAGCCTGTTCCAGCTGATTTATAATTTCCCAGGAAGGGCTCTCTTTGCCAGGATTGCAGATTTTTAGCCCAGTCCTGAGAGGTGTTTCGACTGCCCTTAGCACTTCCTCTCAGTGATTGAAGTCTTCCTTTCATTCCCCATTCTTTCTCCCTGTGGATTAGCTGTAGATTTTGTGGCTGTCACGATCTGATGTTTGTCTGTGCAGGGTTTGCAGATGGAGAAGCTTGTGAAAGTTCTGGCACTGGTGTGATGGAGGAATTGAAAGGCCAACCCTCCAATGAGCTGTGTGTGTAGGAAGTGGGAGTTTGGCTTGGCATTGGGAAGGGGAGTGTGGAATCCTGTGCAATGGTTCCTGTCCCCTCCCAGCAGCCAGTTCTCTCCAGGTGGCAGAGCCACGCTGGTGTAAATCACACTTTTACTCCCTGGCTTCAGAGCCAAATCTAAAGACCTTTATGCAAGTCCTGGGAGTTTTGCTGGAGTAAAACCTCCAGATCAGTGATGAGCATGAGCTTTGCTGGCTCTGTTGTGCTCCAGACACTGAAATCCTGCCTGTATTGAAATCGCTGGCAAAACCATCGCTGGCTGCAGTGGAGACAGGACTCCCTCCTCTGATTGAACAACACAGGGGCATGTTGAGCACTTAGGGATCTTAAGTAAAGTTTAAAAATGCTTAAGTCCTTACTAAAAAAAAAAAAAAAATGTGTTTTTTTCTCTGTTGTTAGCAATGGGCATTCTAGATAAGAAGAGAAATGTTTATTTATGTGGTGTGTAATTTCAGTGTCCGAAATCCCAACTTCCTCCAGTAGCCAAACTGTTTTTGGAACACTTGGGTACAGCTCAGTAGAGGAGATCAACAACTTCTGACTTAAATACCAGGCAGTTATGTCTCAGAGCTGTTCTGACAGCTTTATAAATAGGAATATCTGAAATATCTTAAAGGAGATGCTGTTTTGCAGTGGCCACTGAAATCTTTATGGCTGATCTGAACAGGATGTTATAAACCAACTGGATACCCCAATGACTCTGTGCAGATGCTGTATAGGGACATCTTTATCAGTAAAAAGAAAAGATGTTAAAAAGGATCTCTCTTAAGCCAGTGCTTTTAGAAGCAATCTGAAACAGTTCTAACATGGAAGGAGTTCTGATTTTTTTTTTTTTGTGGAAGTAATAACCCACCTGCAGATGAGTATTTGGGGTGAATTTAGTCTGTATTTGCTTCAGGTAGAGTTGTATAATCAGCTTTGTACCCCAAGTTCATGAAAACGGTTTATTTTGACTGATGAGCTTAATGAAGTTTAGTAAAACCACTTCATTACTGTAACCACTGGTCTTAATATTCCAGCCAGGGCAGGCTGCAGGAAGCCTTGGGATAACACATCAGTCCCTTCCTCCTCTTACTAAAGAGGGCTGGAGTCCCACAGAAGTTGAGCTTGTTTGTCCTGGTGTCTGTTCCCGGGCTCATTTTCATGCCTGATTTTACTTCCACACCTTCCTTCCCTGGCATCCTCCTCCTCAGGGTTTCTTACTCACCCTCAGGTACCATTTCGTGAGGTTTCTCCCCCCCCTTTTCCAGCAACTCGCTGTCTGTTCATTCAAATCCCTCCTTAAAACTGACATCTTCCAGGAAATTCTTCCTCCTCCCCTGTCACTGATAATCTCTCCCACATCTTCCTTTATAATTTTTTTCTGTGCCCTGCTCTCTGTTTTTCTGTCAGAGTTTCTGCAAGGCAGGGAATGTGTCTGTTCAGATTATTCCTTACTCTCTCTCTATATATATATTTTAAATACACACTATGAAATACTGCTCGTATAAGTACATGAAAAAGAGAATATTTAACCTTTATAAATATTCACCAATACACCTCTATTGTTTTATAACATCCTGATTCAAAGGGTAGAAGTAAACCACTAGTTCCTGTGTAGCAGCGTGGTCCTATATCTACTCCTCTACATAATAATAAATGTTATGAAAGAAAGCAGCCACTAACGTTTAGGAAACGAAGTAAACTAGAATCAAATTATGTTTGACTCCATAATTTTCAGCTGTAGGACATGTTTGATAGATGAGCTGAGTCTGTATTTGGGTTTGGAAATATGTTATATCTGACTGTAGGTGTGTGTATGTACAGGGTGTCCATGTGCATTCAAATACTAAAGTGACATCACCAGATTCTTATTCTGCATGAATGTTCCATGAAGTAGGAACTCTCTGGTGTTATACTACAGTAAAAGTGGTAATAAAAACCTGGGTTTTAGACCCCTAGCTAAATGCTTGGTTGCACATAAACACACACACGTAGCTGAGAGCAAAGGAGAGATATGTGGGAGATAAAAGAGAACAAATGGACAACTTATAATTACATGTATTTTAGTTCATGTGGTATCCAGATGATCATCCTCGATCCTGACGGGTTTGACAAATCAGTTTATTAGGACTGTAAGTGTAACCCAGGGCTGTGCAGTAGGCAAGGGAACACTGATTATTTTTTTTTCATATTATATTCAGTCATTTCATTATTGGAGGTAAATACTGCTTGTACTTAGAAACACAACAGCTGGTCTCATGTGAGAAGGCAATCCACAGATTAACTTGCCAAATGTATTACCAGTTCATTTCACTAGACTGAGAACCTAAGGGTATTTTAATAGTTTTGACCTTGATCAGACAAGAAAACAAATGCCCTCGTTCTCAAGTTGAACCTGTGACTTAAGGACTGATCTGTTCTGCTGCAGTGTGAAGTGTGCCCAGCAGCCCTGGCAGGCTGGGAACGAGTGTTTTATAAAATAAATGGGCCAAATTCAGTGCTAAAAGGTGTAGTTGTGATTCTCAGGTTGCTCAGGAGGGGAGATGCTCTGATTCCTGCCTTGCTGCTTCCAGTGCTGTTTATGTGGAGGGTTGTTCTGTGCAAATTGGCTCTTGAGTAAGGAGGTGTTTTTAGTCAGATGTTTGCAAGTCTGATTTGGCTTCAGTGTAGATTTTTACATTTTAAAAAGTCGATTTTATTCAAACTGAAAGGCCAGATGTTTGCAGCCTCTTCACTGGACCCTGCTGCTGTTTGCAGACCGTGATGGCTGCAGACTCATGGCTGGGGTTTGTGCACCTCTGGATGCAAAGTGTGACACAAAGAGCTGCTCCAGGGACAGGTGTGTGTGTCCAGCACTGGGAAAGGAGCTTTAGTGAAAATTAAATTGCAGCAGACCTTTCAAAGAGGGACTGTTTTTAACAGAGTTTTCCCCATAAGGTTTTTGTGCAATGGGAGTTTTCCTTCAAGGAAGGCAGTGCTGGACCCTATACCCTGTCAGGGCTGGAGGGACTCTCAGATGTCCCTTTCCCTGAGCAACCTCTCCTGAGAAGTGTCTCTGTTCCCAGGGACTCCTCACACTCAGACTTGCCCAGCGTGGAAAATTGGGCAAGATTAACCTTTTTCAGAGCATGAACTCGCTGGTGGGGCTTATCCAGGCTTAGTCCCTTTAACTGAGGTCTCCAGTGCCTGCGTGGATCCACAGGCCTGACTATCTGCTTTCCTTCAGGAAGAGTTATGAGCACTAAGGATTTAAGGGTGAGACTTTGGAAAGCTCTTGACATTGGCCTAATTCAGTTTGCTTTGAAGTTTGTTTTGTTGGAAGCCAGGCGCCGCAGCCGCCGAGCGCTTCCCGAGCGCCGTCCTGCTGCAGAGAGAAAAGGGATTGAGCCTCCCTGTCCTGCTGGGAGCTGGGTGCTCTCATCTGAGGGGCCAACTGGTGAAACCACTTCTCCCCTTTCCATTTTTGAATCTCTCCTTTTCCTCTGTTTCCTTCTCCCATTGCTTCCTTCTGCCAGCTGTGCCACAACCACACATCAGTGCCAACGGGGGAGTGACAAAAGCGGGAGGGCACCAGCCAGTCCTGACGGTGGCTGAAGCCTCAACATCCATCTCTTGCCTCTCATTTCCTAATCACATCTTTGTCAAAGTCTCGTGGTCACTTATCATTAATTCTCTTGGAAAGAATCGAGTTTGGAGGTGCGGGACAGCCAAAACCTCTGGAAAGCTTTTTCCACAAAACCTACATCTTATTTCACAGTCCCATAGCTGCTTTTAAAAATAGCTTCTCCCTGCATCTCCAAAATCCCTTCTCCTGCTCTGTGCTCTTTGAAGTGAGATAAACCAGACAAATATCAGGATTTTTATTTTTTTTTCACTTTTTTATAACATTTACCAGATTAGCAAATGGGGATTTACTTTCCACTTCCCTTCTACTGTGCTGTTCCTGGAAGAGATAAGGAAAACTCCGTGTTACACACAGCTCCCAGGTCTGCTGAGCGTTGGGTCAGGCTCTTGGTCCCTGCAAAGGAAGAACAGAGCCTTGAACTTGAATCTCAGCAACAAAACTCCTTCCATTTGATCTGGCTCTTGGATTCAGTAAAAGCATTTTTTGATTGTTTTGGAGGGAGGAATTTTTTCAATAAATAAATAATTAGACTATGCAGAAAATCCTAGATTTCCACTTACTACCATTTCAGATGAAAGCAGAGGCTCTTCAATCATGGAATCATAGAATGGCTTGGCTTGGAAGGGACCTTAAAGATCATCTCATTCCAACATCCCTGACGTGGGCAGGGACACCTCCCGCTAGACCAAGATACCCAGAGCCATTATTTCCATTCCATTATTTCCTTGGATTTAGAGTAGTTCAGTACCTAATTTTACTGAATGTTTAAGCTTCATTTAATAATAAGAAGGCAAGAGTAGTTTCCCTACTGTTCTATTCTCCAACTGTGTTTACGTTTTCATAGTAACACAGATTTGTATTTCTTCAAGAATTTCAGGGTGATTTAAACCTCCATTAATATCCACTTCAACATGTTTTTACTAGTTTTGACATCTAATTTCCTGAACACGCTGCCACTTCCCACCCTCGTATTCTCAAGGCAAACGTTGCTCCACCAACACCAATTTTCTTCCCCGTTCGCTGAATTTCCCCCTTTGATTCTGCTGGTTGGCGACAAAAAAAAGAGTTGAGTCGCCATTATCGGCTCCAATCAATAAATCTGAAGGAAGAAAAAGAGGAAACCTCAGCTCAGGGGGAGCCCCAGTCAGCAAACATTTGCTGACAAAGAAAACACTCGTATATCTGACGCGTCATCAGCTCCCGGTGTTTGCTTACGGCGCCCAAGCGCTCGTCACTGCGAGAAGAGACTTGGAGCTGCTGGAGCTGGATTTCCATGGTCCCTCCAAGAGCTGCCTTTAGTCAGAGAACCACCAAGTGCAGTGGAAACTGCTGTTTTCAAGGAATCTTCCTCAAAAGATGGGTGGCTTCAAGGGACATTCTGAGAAACCCGCCGAAGTCGTGCTCGGCTGGTGGTGGGAATGAAAGAGCACGTGCTCTGTTACCCAGAACTTTGCTGTCCTGGTGGGTGAGATGCAGAACCATTGCTTTGTAGTCACTGTGGCTCATGGTTTTTTTCTGGCCCTGGGTTGGCATTTAGTGTTGTCATTGGAATTTGATGTTAATTTAAAAAAAAAAAACAACCCTGAAGATGAAACGATGCTGATAAGAACAAGGTGTAAAAGAATTAACCTCGCTCTGAGGGGGTTGTGCAGCAATGCTTTTGGTGAGTGCTGTGTCCTGGTTGTGTTTCACACAGGCTCTTAGTCTCATCAGCTGGAAAATCTTGAAACAAATACAGCAGATTCTGTGGTGGTTTCTCCACTGAGGAACGTTATCCACACTGTCCATCCTGAGGGGATGCACAAAGTTGCTCGAGCGCTCTGGGTCAGGATTTAAACTATCTTGCACTGCAAGTATCTGGAAAGAAATGAAAACTTTGTTTGTTTTGCAGTGTGCTACTTCCTTTAATTATTCAGCAGACCTCTGGCAACCACCTGATTTATCTCCTCACTGCCTTGCCACTGTAGCAACTGTGATGATCAGTTGTTGGAGTGACACCTCTGTAGTTCCTTTAGTTCCTTTTCCCCCAGGGATGTTCATTCCTTATGGCTGTGGTGTCACACAAGTGGAGTTCCTCTTTCCTGTTAGTGCCTTAAAGAAGCTGTAAATCTATAGGTTGGTGTCTGTGTGGAGTTCTTTTCAACAGAGCTTAAACCCATCTCAGTATCTCTTGAGGCTGAACGATGTTTAATGCTGTTATTTTAGAGGGAGCCTGAGCATGTCATAGACAACCTGACCAATAGTATACCCTAAGTGTGGATCTGAGCTATAAATCTATTCTATACAGCGTGAAGAAGCACTTAGGCCAGGCACATGGCTGAAGTGCCATGCTGGGAGTGCAAGGTTTGCAAACAGCTCATTGAAATGAAGACTAGCAGAGCTATGAATCTTAGCAGAGTTGCTCTGAAGGGTTTACCTGCATCAGTTTCCCTCGTTTTAATTAGATTTTGTCATTTACAGTAGATTTGGGCTTCACAGCATAAATTGGGTGACAGTTGAGATCTTCCCTCGGAAGGTTGGGGACCTCCAATACACTGATAGCCCTAATGTTTGCTCATTATTTTTGCTGGCAAATAGAGATTTATCTTTGTTTATCTGCGGGATTACTTGTTGGGATTGGCTTTGAAGCTCGGGGGGATTATATGATGATGTTTGTGCACAGCACTTCAGGAAATCTTTGCATTCCTGGGAGCATTATAAACAGTGCTCATTGTTAGGTGTCAAACAGCTCGGTGGGAGCTGTGAAAGTGGCAGCTGAAGCACCCCGAGGTCTCTGGGTCTCCACGGGGCACTGCAACAGGGTGAGAGGAGCTGTCCTGCCTCGCTGGAGGTGTGGGGTCAGCACCTGATCTGCTTCCACCCGAGCCAGGTCAGCCCCAGGGTGAGGGTGCCGGGAGGACCACGGCATCTGCCTTATCCCACAGGAGTGAGGGTGAGACCCCCGGCAAATCCCTTGTGGCACAGTAGCCACAGATGGTGGCTACAGTCAGTCACGGCAAAACAGGCTGATTGAAAGTGGTGATTTAGAGCTGGAAGTGTCCTGTTCCCAGAGCACTCAGGGCTCGGACACACCTCATTAGTTTGATGGGCAGAGGGGGTTTTGACTCTCAGTGTTTGCTGAGAATTTTGCCTGCTTCACTTTCTCCGAGGGCTCCCTCTGATAAATCTGCACCTCGTTAGAGATGAGGCTGTTAATTGAAAAAGGGGGCATTTCAGTTTTTAGAGCCTGTTCCACACTCGCTGCTGGGCCGTGGTGGGACACAGTGTAAGGACCCAGCTGGGCAGGTGCCGGGGGCTTTCCTGGCAGGGTGGATGTGATGCCCAGGGAATCCTGGCTGGGTGTGTGTCAGGGATTTCAGGGAGTGGCTGCACAGGCAGGGGCTCTCTTGCCCTCAGTGCAGCTGAGTTGTACCACTGGGTACAAATCTACTCATGGTAAATTAAAATAAATTCAGACATCTTGTCTGAATTTCTACTTCTGATGATATAATCTCTATTTCTGATGATATAATTTCTGGTTTTGATTATATAATTTATCCTTCTGATGTAGTCTGAGAATGGGTTCTTTCCTGGAGACCTCAGTGTCTTCCTGAGCACCAGTTGGTGAATCACTGACTGAGGTTCCCAAAGTTGAGGAGCCCCTGAAACTGGAGCTGTTTGGGCTCAGATCAGAACTGGGGGCAGAACCTGAAATGATTATGAGGATATTGAGAGCTGCACTCTTAAACCACCTGTGCTAGAACTCGATGCAGCAATAAAAAAATGTAAAGCAGAAACAAGGATATCTGTGTGCTAATAACACACAAAAGCCTGTCTGCATTTTAACATTTTAATGTGGGGTGGTTTTTTAGGTTCAGCAGTTTATTATCCAATAACACCCTAAAGGGTTGGGTTTTATTTTTTCTTATTGTCATCTTCATTTTTGCGTTTGAGTGTTTATTCCTTTTTCCTTATTTGGGTTACAGCATCTTGATTTTTTTTTCTGTCCTTTCCTCCAGGAATAATGAAAACCAAAAATACCCCACAGTAATGAGAACCAATAGTGTACAGAGATTAACGTCACAAGCCCATCGCTGACCTCAATAACATTTCACAACATTTAGTTTTCATTACAGTGCAATGTTACTGCAGACTTTTTACATGAACTTCTGAAGAAAAATATATGATAGGGGCTTTCCAAAAATACACACATGTTGGGAAATAAGGCTTCTAAATCAAGAGTTTTACACATCCACCGATCACATTTGACGAATCAGATGTATGGTATTAATTACTCTGAATCACAGCAAGCAGACTTAAACACTTGGAAAACAAAGATTTTGTGCTTTGCTGATGCAGACACGTGTCGTGCCTTCTTCAAAAGGTGCCTCCTGACTTTTAGTGCCATTTGCTCCCTTTGCATGATGAAAGAACGTTCAATTTTTAAATTGTATTTGTAAAAAGTATTGCTTGGCACAGAGCGTAGGAAAGAACATTTAGAACAGGTTGATCTGTAACACCACAAGCAGTCTGTTTTCTATCAATGATTCCTAGCCAGCTTATTAAACAGATTTATACAATGAAAGAATCTAATAACAAAAACATTCACCTCCTTTATTACTTGGCATTATTTATGGCTCTTACTTTTTTTTAGCTACCTTTTTATATATCTGAATCTGCCAACATTGTATTTATAAAGTTTATGTACTAGCAGCATTTGTTGGGCAGGGGTTTGGGTTATTTTATGTTTCTTTCCTCCTACACTTATTATTACTAAACCCTATAGACAAATGCTTGTAAAGATTTAAAAAAAATTCACCAAAGAAAATATTCCGGAGAAACGGAACGCTTGAAAAATTAATTAATTCTGGAGAAATGGAATTTTTAACGTACTTACATTTTAGATATTCTCCATAATAATAAAAGATAATGGTGCTTATGACAGAGCCTATTCCAGGGCTTAACTGTGTTCCCCAGAACCTCCAGCGTTGGATCGTGGATGGGGAAGTGATTACACGCTGCGAAATCAAAAGTTCCTCCTGTGGCTATTAATTGAGATCTCTAAATATCTATAATTGCTGTCCAAAGAACAACTTTGTCTTCCAGAGCTCCTTCCTTCCTTCCTTCCCTCCTTCCTCCCCTCTGTCCGTCCGTGTGTCCCAAGGCGACGGAGCCACAATGGCACGTTTGTCGTCGTCTGGTGGGGTCAGTGGGAGCCCTTGGGCGTCCTCCTGGTGCCAGCACTCGGCTCCAGGCTGGGCTGGGCCTGGCACAGACGTGGCCATGGAATTAAAATATAGTCTCCCTTTCCTATGGATTGTTCTTTCCTGGCAGGCCAGTTCTGCAGCTTCCCGAGCGGCCTCTCCGTGGGGCTGCTCAGGGACAGAACAACCTGGAGTGAGACACGTCTGTTTGTCTGCAAAGCTCCTGTGTGTGCCCAGGGCAATCCTTGTGCTGGTGTTAGAAATGCCTGGAGATGCCTCTTCTGTAGTCAAAGAGAGAAAAAAGGGTCCTATTTGAAAAATGGGGACTGGAAGTCTTAGGGCAGCGCAGGACCCCGAGTTCCCATCGGCAAAGCCAGGACAAAGTGGGTGGTTTGCCCTGGATAGAGGGAAACAGGGGAATCCCTTGGAGATCCATGCAGCAGGCACGAGGAGCAGCTGCTTTCCCCAGGCAAACAATAGCAGTGAACTGTTAAAATAAATAAAAAGTGAGAAGTAGAAGCAGGGGAAGGTTTGCACTGAGCTCTCTTGGTTGAAAATCGCGGCCCTGGGAAACACGATGTGTCCCCCTGAGCTGCCGGGGGGTCAGCGAGTCCTTTCCCCCCCCTTCCTTCCCACCTGAAGCTTTGTTGGTTTATAAATGATCTGTCTGATTCTGGCTCTTGGGTTGCCTTTGTCTCACCCTCCCAGGAACGTTCCCCCTGAATGCCCAGGCTCCAGCTATTTCAGAAGAAAACCTTTATTTTTTTTTCCACTGAGGTTAACCAAGCCTCCTCCTGTTTTGCTGTGCTCAGCAGTTAAGGCCAAAGTTTACAAGAAAGGTAATTACAGTCTTACTTTTAATTGTAATTAACTAGGAGTAAAGAATCAAAATAATCCAGCTACTCTTTTGCTGAACCAGAGCATTATATATAATGTGACAAAGAGAATGCCTTGCCCTTCAGCCATTAATTTTAGCAGCTCTGTTACTCCTAAATCACATAAACCTCTGGTGTCAGAGGGGAGAGAATATGAATCAGCTCAGAGGTTTCCTTGGAATACCTTGCCCGTGGTTGTGTCAGAACGTGCAAGGCTTTGGAAGCACTTGAGGTTGTGATAAATTAGAAACGTGTAATGAAGAAAATCGGGAACTCCGAATGGAGAGGTCACGAGTGAAAAATGTTGGTAGTGAATTACAGGCATTTCTGGGCTCATAAAGACCAAAACTCGGGCTTTTGAAGGGAGTCTTTCCCTTTTATTGTAGAAGGTGTTGGAGCAGTGTGAGTGTGGGGAGGTTGAGGAGTGGCACTGCCCTAAGGAGACGTCACTGCCCTGGCCGTGGCGGGACAGGCACATACGTAGGGATGAGTGGATTCTTAGTCAGCAAAGGATGAAGATGGGAAGCATTTTAACTCTCTTATTCCCAACTGTGTTCATTGATTATGACCCAGAATCCAATTCTGAACATTCAACAGATGCTGCTCTTTCTGAACTCTTTATTGAACTGGGATTGAACTCCTGTTTTTTTACCTTTGCCTTAACTGTGGCCACTTTTCTTGGGTGCAGGGAGGATGAGGCTCAATGGCACCACTAGTGACAAAGAAGTTGAACCAATCCTTGAAAACACAGTGAAATGTCAGATATCCACATTTAAAGCCCAGACCAGGGCAGATTTTACTTGTGCTGCAGCACTTCCACAGCCAAAAACCCGAGTGCCACAGACCTTGGCAGCATTATTAGGGGGATCTTCATTTAAAGATGAACTATTCTGGAACAATT